CCGCATCCAGCTTCAGCATCCAGCTTTATTAGAATGTTTTGCCACAGCTCCATCAACATTAATTTTCACCCAACCTTTGGGAGGAGGAGTCCAAATAGCTGAGTTTTTTGAAACACTTTGCTGCTTTATCACTCTTCCTCAAATCCGGAATATTAACTAAACTCTTCCAGCTACAATTAATCAGAGTAGCTGGATTCGAAGGTTTCAAAAAATTATCATAAAAAACTGCCTCATTTGTCCAAATCCTTAGCTTCCAAACCGTAACTCCCCACAACAAATCCCAATGTGCATTTCCATCCTAGCTCATAGGCTAGGGTTTGTTGTGTTGATCCTTGAGCTGTTGCATGTGCATTGTGGGCTTGAACTTATGAGAAATATGGACTTGTTGATCTTGGGCTTGTATTTTATCATCCCCTCTCAAACGAGAGGGCGTCTGATGTCTCAGGCATCCCGAGTTTGTCTCTTATGAGTTGAAATCTGGTGTGCCCAAGAACTTTGGTGAGACAATCTGCTACTTGATCAGTAGTGGGAACATGCTGAATAGATAATCTTTTGGCAGCAACGTGCTCTCTAATAAAACGAGTATCAATATCTATATGATTTGTTCTAGAATGAAAAACTAGATTACAGGCAATTAAACACTGGTTTCCAGTACATACTGCACCCAAACGCGTACACATTGTTCATAAAACGCACGGATCAATGATGGATAACGTTAAAAACTAGCTGGCTAGAAGGCATATATATATGGTGAAGGGAGTATATATATTTCCAAGACTTGCCTGATAAAGAGCATCGCTTTGCAGGAGATTCTTATGATTCACTTCTTTATGCTGACCCGAAGCTTGCGATTTCGGTATTTTTCCTTAACGAAAGTCATAGTAACTATCTTAGATATATGCAGATCCGATCCCTGGTCTTGTCAACTTCTCTCTATTGTTTTGTTTAACCGGGTGGAGAATGGCACGAAATGTTATTCTATTTATAGACAAGTTCGAACAATGTTTTCTCCTCGGAGTGATTGAGAATTCTGTTAATAAGATGATCGATGCCGATAACTCACGAACATTCTTCGAAATAGGCACAGCAAACTTTCCCAGACCTTTGTTAATTCGATATAAATAATAATTACATGTTATTAAATATGTATCATTAACTTTTTCACAAGTTACTTTATGCTGCAAGGAGCGAAAACTTTGAATATTGCAGCATAATACTGTTATTCTTCATTATTAAAAGAAAAAAAATCATATAATGTGGACGCTGGCTACCACTCGCTCTAATTAAATTATGCAGTTAGTTGCCTCCACCAAAATCATGAGCAAATCCATATATACATATATATATATATATATTTATATAAGTATTGGGTCAATGTTCACTGATATGGAGGCAGCCGGTCAGAACAATGCCAAATTTGTCTCAGAGATGAATAGTGGTTTGGTTGGGTGAAAAGATTCCCCCACATTTTGGTCAAAAAAAGGTTAAGCGATTCCTAGATCATGTTGATTATTAGTTAACCGACTATACCAGAAGGTTTTGTAATCATATCAACATACTAAAACAAAAATAAAAATGTGTGTGAAGAATTAGACTCAACAAAGATTAAATTTTCTTCTTTCATAGTAAGCTGTTGCCCTAATCTTTCACTAATTAAATTATAAATTGAAAGAAAAATCTGGTAAGTTTTGGCTTGTTGGTATATGAGAGATTGTGGATCTAAATTGAAATAGAAATTAACAGGAAAAATAAATGAAACTGTGAGAATTAGTGAAATCAAAATCTGGACAAGCGTGATCTTTAGCGGCAGAGGTCATTTTCGTTGATGACCGAACTTTTAAATCTCATTCGATCTGAAAATGTTTCTTAATTAGAAACTAGAAGCTAAGCCTACGATCGCTTTTGTCCCAAAAAAGAAAAAGAAGCTAATATCGTTTTACCTCCACTTTAAATGTGAGATATTTTACTTAATGCACGCCAATAAAAAAAATAGATAGTTAAAATTTTTAATTGTTTTAATTTCATCAACTTCGTCCTTCTTTAAATTCATGGGAAAAGGGGCCATGTTAACGGACGTAAATAATTTTAGGATAATCTTGTAATATTTCAAGCAAAATGGATATAAATTATCGTTAGAAATCCACAAAATACCTTGAACACTAAAGCACAAACCTCTCTAAAACATACTCTTTTATTTGAAGTATTGCCATTAATTAATTAGAAAAATATGCTTATGAGAAGATGAAACATTGTTTCTTAAATGTATATTAAGAGGATTTGAATCGTACATCCACTCTTTTTCCCACCATTAACTGAATGTTAAGTAGTTTTTTTTTTTGGTTTCAATATCCTTTTTATTGGACATAGATTCAAATATTATCAGGCTCAAATAAAGATAACTTTTTGAAAAATTTCATTCACACCACTTTAAACCTAATAACCATAATTATTACCCGTTCTACTGTAACTAATACCCCATTTATATAAAATAATATTTCCTTCGTTGTTGTATTATATATTTATATGAGGTCCATTAGTGATATTTAATTTAGTTCTAAATGGAAAATTATATTTTTCTTATCTCTCATATTAAATTTTTATTTCTCATATAATAGGCTAATACCCATATTTATTAAGACATTTTTATATCAGCGGATTAAATTTCAATCATTAAAATGGTAAGGATAATTTTTGAAAACGTCACAACTTCTCTACATTTTAATTACAAATAATCAACCTACATACTTTATTTAAAAAAAATTTATGAATTGATGAAGAAAATATTATATTTAGGAATGGAGAAAGTATTATTCTAAACAATATAAACTTATGAATTTTTCCAATAATTAGATGAGTCCTATTTTATTTTTTAAAAAAAAAAGCGAATTAGGTCCTAGTTGAGGTGATCATACCAAAATCAACATACACAAGTCTCACAGCTCAAAAAATTGCTTACGAAGTACTGAATGAGCAACTCACACCGACACTGAGATAGCCTAATTCAATTGAGGTTGGTCATGTTAGAACACTGCATTTTGAAAGAGCGTTCGATCAAGACTTCAATTTGGATTAAAAATGGTTAAAGCCATAGAATAAAAAGGGAACAAAGAGGGATTCTTAAATACACTACTCATAATATTACAACACTGTAGGGGGGATTGGTAAAAATGCAAAATTATTATTGAATGACAAGAAGACATGAACATTAATGACAGCCAATTAACACATTCATGTATTAATTAAGAGAGAGGCACCTAATTTGTTCACTTGTCCACTTCAGACGCTGAACCACTGCTCTCTCTGTTGATTCCAGTCCATCATCCCCTCCACCGACATTAAACTGTTACAACCGCTGTTCTTATTCCTGTGATATCCTCCCTCCGATTTTTATTACTCTTCCATTATATCTTGTAATTTATATTAGAAAATAGGTTTTATATTTAAAACCGTAGGAGTGGTATAAATTATTTTCAACCACATTGTTGGAAATAAGAAAAACCTGTTAATTTATTACTCCCTCCGTTCCTTATTATAAGAGACATTTAATCCTTATGGCATGTTCCCATATATAAGAGACACTTAAAAGTTGTCTCTATTTTTTTGTATTGATTTTCTATTTTACCCCTATTTATTTTGCCTTCAACTCATACTCTCTCCTCCTCCCACTTCTCTTTCTTTTAATAATTTAATAATTCTCTCTCATACTCTCTCTCCTTATTAATAGGGGCATTGTTGGGAAAAAAATTATACTTTTTACACATTAATTGTCCTCAACTAATTTTAACTGTTTTTTTTATCAACGTGATTTGGTTATTTGTCTCTTATAATAAGGAACGGAGGGAGTAATTTTGTCTTAAAATCAATTTTTTTGTTAACTTTGTAATCAATTTTTTTTCGGTTAACTTTGTCCTAGTAAAGAATATGGTTTGAAGAAAAAGAGAGAAAAAAACATGGCATTTTATTTGAAGGGCATATAAAAATACTAGATTAGAATGAATTCTCCTTTTAATAACTAGCGATAAATAGGGAAAATTTTGAAAATTTTTAGCTAATAACTCTCTAGATCATTTATATTTGAGACCGCAAATTTATTCGAGAAGACGACCTCCGTACAGAGATCAAAGAGAGTAGATAGGTGAAATACCATGGGAACATTTTACTTGATCTGTCACTGCTCAACTTGGTGTAGGCACCGAGAAGGATGAGAGAATAATAGAGCCCTTGCTGCAGGAGAGGAACTTCAAGAGAAAAGAGTGCTAATAGCAAAACGACTCATTAATGCTCTGATCCACAATGCAGCCACTTAAATTGAGACAGCACTATAACCAGGAGAAGTTTCCACGCAACTATATTTACTACTCCTCCGGTCCTTAATATAAGACCCAATTAGTTTTGATCTTAAATATAAGACCCATTTCTCATATTTATCAATTTTCTCTAAATTACCCCTATGAATATTCCCTCAACCATAATCAAGTAGAAGAGGGAGAGGGGGTATTAAGAAAGATGATTATGGTGTTTTAGGAAAAATGTGTCACTTATATCATAATTAACTAACTTACCTAACTTCTTTAATATAATCAAATTAGTTAAATGAGTCCTATATTAAGGATCGGAGGAGTATATTTTTCCCTTATTATTCCTGCTTAATATTTGAGCTGTTGACAAAGAAATTAATTAGAGTAGTACACAATGCAAATAGTTGAAAACAAGTAGTACTAAGGGATCAGATGATGCGGCGGCACAGGGTAATGCCATCACCAATAGGAAGTTGACAAATCTCAATCCTAGAGTCACGGGCTAAGGCCTTGTTGAGCTCCCACACAAAAACACGATAATACTTGATGTAGGGGGTGTTTGGCAATAAGAAAATCATGGTTTCAGAAGCACTTTTCCGCAAAACGAGACAAATTTCTTCACATATTTACTTCGTAAACCGTAAAAGCACTTCTGAAACTATGGTTTGGTTTCTATCCAAACACCCCTATAATCGAGCTGAGGTACTTCTGGTGGGTCCGCAACAGAGCCGTTCCATAGGGTGTTGTCGTAGCCGATCAGTCCCCCAACCTTCACCAACTCAATGGCCCTCCTGTGGTAGTTCAGGTAATTTTCCTTATCCGCGTCCACAAATATGAAATCGAAGGCCCCCTTGTTCTTTTCCTGCAAATTAATGATCGTCGCAAGATACTAATAAATTTGAGAGAGTGATATCAGTTCAGATAAAACTTAGCACAGTGTACACGTACGTCTATGAGCAAGTGGTCAAGAACAGGAAGCGCAGGCCCTTCTCTGAAGTCAATCTTGTGAACAACACCAGCCTTTTGGATCACAGGCAAGCCCAGCTCATAATCTGCGCGGTTGATGTCCAAAGCCAATATCTGAAAAATGAAATGTTAAATGCATCATGAAACAGTACATATATGAGAAGAGGAATCAATATACTATTAGTTTTACATAATAGTGCGTGTGTGTGTTTTATGAGATAAGAAGAGGAAGAATAAGAATAACTTAAGGAACCTTCCCATCTTCTGGGAGGGCAAGGGCCGTGGCGAGAAGGGAGTAACCAGTGAAGACGCCAATTTCAATGGTGTTCTTGGCATTCATCAGTTTGAGCAACAAGTTCAGAAATTGGCCTTCGTCAGCCGACACAGAACAGACGTTCCTATTTCACAACATATTTAATCAATTTCGCAAGAGTATATGTATTAAAATAAAGTTAATAACTTAAGTACATAATAATGATGTGATAATTACTAGGGATTCTGAGATTGATGAGAGGAATAGAACTGATATTGCATAGAGCGTACCAGGGGTGTTTCGCAGTCAAGTCTCGCAGCTCCTTCAAGCACTCGTGCTCTCTGGGATAAACACTGGTTTCAAGTATATACTGCACAAACATGCATATTGTTCAGCACAAGCATCAATTACAACAATGTTAAAAACTAGATATGTAGATGGCATAATATGAGGAGCAAGTATACTTCCAATATGTACTCGCCTGATAAAGAGCGTCGCTTTGCAGGAGGCTCTTATGATTCCCTTCTCTGTGTTGACCCGAACCTTGGGTTTTTGGCTCCTCTCCCTTAATGGAAGTCATTGTAGTTGTTATGTTAGATATGCAGGTGCAATAATCCCTGGCCTTGGCAGCTTTCTCTCTATTGTTCCGTTAACTGATGGAGAAAAAGGCAATAAATTCTATTGTATTTATAGACGAGTTCCAGACTTCCAGTGTCAATTACTCCCTCCCTTAACTTTTTAGTTTTAACTACCTTACACAGATGAGGAAATTAAATGAGTTATTAATGTCATTTCAATTTTCCAAATATGTCCTTATTAAATACAGAATACATGCAATTTTGATCAGAGATAAACTTGAAGTGATCTGAAGATTAAATTGAGAGATCAAGGGGGTGTTTGAGTGATTACCCAAACTATGGTTTGGGAAAAAATTACCCAAACACCATGGAAAAAACCAAAACCATGGTTTTGGCAGAAGCAGAAATTTTCTGCTTTTGGAAGAAAAAGAAAGAGTGTAAGAACTTATGGAATATATGTCTTGTTGTTTTTAGAATAAAATAATATTTTTTCTGTTGGTAAAAATTATTCATTTTTTACAAAATTTTTTTAATCTCATAATTTATAAATATATATACACATATTAATTATTTATTAATTATATTATCTTATATATTATTAATTATGTTAGTAAAAATTATTTTGTTAATAATTTTATTCTTTCAAATTAAAATATATTATAAAATCTATCTTTTATATAATTATCATATTAACTTATGTCCTTTTTAATAATTTGCACATGTAAAAAGTGCTTTTGGTAACAACTATCCAAACACTCTCATTTCTTAGAATCACTTTTTTACAAAATCTATTCTTCAAAAAATCTATTCTCCCCAAAATTTATTCTCCAGAAGCTATTCTCCAAACCATGGTTTGGTTATATCCAAACACCCCCAAATCATTCTACAATTGGCAAAGTTTATGTATTAAGGTGAAATAAATAAAAAGATGGTGAAATTAATAGAGATTTAATCATAGAATTCAAGTTGGGTGGTTTAAATAGAAAAAAGTTACTAGAATTATTTGTGATCAGAAAATACCTAATAAGGTGAAAGAAAATTAAGTTTTATCATACTACAATACAACGAACAATGCTATAATGCTATATGATACTGAATGGTAGGTTTTAAAGGAAAAACATGAGCATAAAGTGGGAGTAACTGAGATGAGGATGATGAGATAAATGTTTAGTCATACAAGAAAAATAGTATTCGTAGTGAAAAAATATATGTGCAAAAAAGTTAGAGTGGCTTCTATTGAAGAGAAAATAATATGGAGAAGATTATTTGAAATGGTTTAGTCATGTTCAAAGAGAGCCTTTGAATGTTTCGATGAGCATGGTTGATCAAACAATATATAATCCTATGAGAAGGGATAGAGGAAGACAAAGGAGAACACTCAATAAAATTATTGAATGAGATCTTTTGATTAAGTACCTAACAAAGATTTGATCATTATTGATAAAACTCAATGACTTCGTGTGATATTGATTCATATGACCTATCTAATGAAATATTCCTTTAATTCTTTTTGTATGATAGAGAGAGAAAATATTTTTGGTCTTATTTATAAGGTACTGGGAGAAATTTTTTGTATTGGTGTATAATTTTATCTTTTATTTATTATTGTGTTGATTTTATTTATATGAAGTATAATATATATCAAATAGAGATAAAATCGGATAATTATTGAATTTTAAACGAGATTAATGAAGTTTAAGATTTTTTTTTTGTTTGTGTGAAACATATTTGAGGTAATTTATAAATATAACTAGAGGAGTAAAACTTTGTTGTTATTGTTGTATCCTTCATTAAATACAGTTTATTCTATTGATGGTTATTGAATAAACTGGGATTGAGTAATTTCTGAATTTACAAGATGCATTTTTTGAACAAATGTATCAATTATTCCTAACATTTTACATAATGATTTATAAAATGAAATACTTCAAAAATTTTCTATTAAGCAAATAATTTATAAAAAAAGATGACTGGGCGAGTTTTGCATATTATATTAAATATGTAATAATATATATAGTTTATTTCAATAAATTTATGATCGTGATCATATTAATTGGTTTTGCCAAAAAAACCAACTCCTTTGAATCGATCATTATCATATAACCTGATACTTTTAAGTACTTATTTGATACTCCCTCCGTTTCTTATTATAAGAGATGAATAACCGAATTATATTAATAAAAAAAATAGTTAAAATTAGTTAAGAACAATTAATGTGTAATAATTTTTTTTCAAAAATACCCTCATTAATAAGGATAGAGAACATGAGAGAGAACAATGGTAAATTATTAAAAGAAAGAGAAGTGGGAAGGAGAGAGAGTGTGAGTTAGAGACAATAAATATTGGTAAAATAGGAAATCAACACAAAAAAATAAAGACAACTTTTAAGTGTCTCTTATATATAAGAACATACCGTAAGCATCAAATGTCTCTTATAATAAGGAACCGACGGAGTATTGAACATAATTAATCAATGTCATCTTTGTGTTCCTTTGACAAAATAACGTATATATGTATTTTACTTCCTTCAGTCCTTTTCATAAGATATTTGGAGTAGAAATTTCGGGTGTGTTGCATATTTTTCATATGATTTTTAGTCAATAAACAACGTTAAATTAAAATTCTTTAATTTTCATACAAGATAATAAGTTCTAAGTCTTTTGTTAGTGATTGATTATATATAAAAATGACGACAATAAGTACACATATTTTCCACCTTTTCCCCAGTCACTGTGCATGGGGCTGGAGGCTAGAAGTATGAATCGTGGCATCATTTTGGTTCACAAAATTATTCCATAAATTACTCAACTCTTCCCCTCGGTATTAAATGAAAAATGCATATTCTAGCTACCCCTCTAACAAAACTACCCCTCTAGCAAAAATAGCTAGCCCGCGGCATTCAATTTTTTTTTTTTGTTTTTTGAGTGGCCCAGCATAATTTAAGGACGTGGTCGGTCAGGATAAATGCCGACTTCTCAACTTTTGCGGTGATATGTAAGGCTTGGCGGGGCTAGTAAAATTGGGTTTAGTGCATTTATTGCTGTGATCTTTTTTTTTTAAAAAAAAATGCATCCAGTATTTTGATATTTTTATGATATATTTAGTATTTTAAATTTATTTTTGTGTATCCAGTACTTTAAAAATTAAAATATTAGATATATTTAAAAAAATAATATCGAAGTATTAGATACATAATAAAAAAAATATCAAAATGGCAGATACACCATAAAAAAAAAAAAAAGCAAGATGGCGGATATACCTCAGAAAAATGGGGTGCTAATCCACCAATATCTGAGAAATTTCCTTAGCTCATGCTGATCAATTCCCGTACCGTTGGTTTCGCGCCTTACATATTATATGTGTGTGTGTACCTAAGGATGGCATTAATGCCATTAAGGTTATACTCCTCGGTACTTAATATAGGACCCAATTATTGAGTTGGTTTTGGTCCTAAATATAAGACCATTTATCATATTTTTTAATTTTTTCTAAATTATCCCTATGGATACTTCCTCAACCATAATCAAGTAGAAAAGGAAGAGGGGGTAATAAGAAAGATGATTACGGTATTTTAGAAAAAACGTGTCACATTTCTTATAAACAACTAACTTACCTAACTTTTTTAATTTAATCAAATTAGTTAAATGGGTCTTATATTAATGATCGGTATAAATTATAGGCTTCAATTAGGTTATAGATACTAAGTTTCGTTTTCTAAATGGCATAATGGCTATATAATTTAATTTAAAGATAATTATAGGAAATATGACTTTGTTAAAAAAAAAAACAGCTATTGCAATGTATGTAGAGTAGTATCTTCTGCCCTTAATATAAAAACTAGCTAACTAATTTGAGAGTACTAAGAAAACTAGTTAAATTGGTTATTTGTAATAAATATGTGTTATTTTTCTTAAAATATTCTTACTAATTAAGTGTATTGACTAAAACAAACATTATTACAAGGAGTACTTTGGAAAAAATGGATAAATATGAGAGACAAAATGAATTGAAATCTTATACTACCTCTGGTCCTTAATATAAGAGATAGTTGACTAATTTGAGTAGATTAAAAAAAATTAGTTAAGTTAGTTATCCGTAATACATC